CCCCCGGGTTGCCCCCTGCCCGGGCCCGACTCCCAGCACACAGGAGGCGGTGGTGGCTGCGGCGTCCGCGCCCAAATGCGGCCCAGGGCGCCCGAGGGCGCAAGGGGTGCGAAGGCGGGGCGGCAACCGGGGAGGAGTGCTGGGCGCGGGGGCGCAACCCAGGCCGAACTGACAGGTCGCGGAGAAAGCCCATTCCCTGGAAGGACTCTGGGATAGAACAGCAGGTTAATCCCGAGAAGTCTGGGAGCGATATCCCCGCGCAGAGCTGCGCCGCGCTACAGGCTGGGATGGAGGCGTGCAGGGACCTGTTTCTTCTTGGGGGGCGGAGGCCAGGGGTAGAAGAAGGGAAGGGGCCGAGACCAGGGGCCTCAGAGAACCACAGCTGGGGCTGACTGGGCCTTGGTTCTCCCTCGGGCAGGAAGAAACTCTGTTCAGCCCTTTGAGGGTACAACAGCCCCCCACTTCCCTGTGGCTCGCCTGAGGAGGGAGAGGTGGTGACCGCTGGTGACCTGTCTGTCTGTCTGTTTCTCCTTGACTGGGCCTGCACTCATGCGGCTCCTGGGAGGGGACAGAAGTTTCCCTGGGGGGATGGGATGTAAGAGGATGGGCTGGGTGAGTGGGTGAACAGGGGAGCAAAAGGACCCTGAACTCTTTCTTTAACCCCCTCAATAGCTGCTCCCCATGCCCCAGGCTTCACCCTGGCCAATGTCCCTGTCAGAGCTCTGCCCCCATCCACTGTGGGCAGCCAGTGGAAGACAGCTCCAATATTGATCTGAGGAGCATGAGGTGGGAAGGGGGATAGCCAACAGTGTAGTTGGGTTTCCATGGAGACAGCAAGAGAGGAAAAAATTCTCTGTGCATCAAGACCAAAGAACAAATATCTCCCATGAAATTGCCCCGAGTGTCCAATGGCTGTTGCTATGAAGTCACTGCGGCCAGCCGGGGCCCTACGGGCTAGAAGGAGCGTGTTCAGTTGGGGTCAGAGCCACCCAGGGCTTGGGGGACGGAGGTGATGTGGAATTCTCCCAGCTGTTCCCAGAGTGAGCGACTCCAAGGCAGTCTGAAGTGGCTGCGGAGCTTTTGTTTTTCTTGGAGCCTTAATTTGATTAACACTTCAGGAGCAGTGGCAGGGTGTACAGAAACCAGGGCACCACCACCTCCTCCTGCCACCCCCCTGGAGTCCACCCCCCCTGAGTGGGGCCCAGGGCGCAGAGCTGAAGCAGGGGAGCTGATTTGGACTTGGGGGAGCCTGGGGCCCCTGGAGCTGGTTCTGGACTGTCTGGGTTCAGAATCACTGGCTCCAAAGTGAGTCTGAGCATCTGAGGGACCAAGAGCTGTTCTGCCCACCCACTCAGCACCGAGAGCTGCAAGCAGCAGAGAGAGAAGCAACGCAAGGGTCTAACCTGGGCCTTTAGGGAAGATAGTGGAGTCTGCAGTGGAAGGTCCTTCAGGAGCAGTTAGTCTTTTGGCTCGTTTTATAGATGAGGAAACTGAGGACCAGGGAGGGGAAGCTACTTGCCCTTGGGCAGAGCTAAGACCAGAACCCAGGTATTCTGGCTCCTGGGAAGTAATACCACACCCCCCTTCCCTGAAGCCATCCCAGAGTTGAGCCAGTGTGGCCCAGGTAGTGTCACTACCTGCCCTCAGCCACAGTGAAGCCTGGAACCCTAGCCACAGAAGCAGCCCAGTTTTGGGTCACACAGACCATGGGGAGTTCCAACAGCTCTGCTCTCATGCCTGTGCCGTGGGGGTGGGTGAGGAGGGGCCCCAGCGGGAGAAGGAGGTTGGCAAACCTGTTCTCTGCAGTGGTGATGGTTCAGGTTGCCACAAAGCAGATCTCTGGATGACCCAGCTCACTCCTGCTCCACCCTAAACTTCCAGCCAAGGGTCTTTGCTCAGCCCAGGACCAGAGCGGGCTTCCCAAGACCTTAGCAAACAAGAGAGGCTATGATGGGGACAAGATCACTGGGCACATTCCAAGGTTGGGTCATTTGTCTTGTACTTTTCAACCTCTGCCCCTGGGCAAAGGGCTAGGCCAGCACTGGGGAAAGAGATGTCACAGCACGACCTGCAAGGAGCTTGGAGTTTAGGTGGAAAGACAAGATAAAAGCAAAGCCATGAATGAGGTAGAACAGGGTCCATTCTGGAACTATCAGAGGAAAGAGCTGAGTGGGAGTTGGAACAGTTACAGAAGTTGTAACTGGTTCTTGGCCAGGAGGTTGTAGAATCAGGAGAATAACAACTATAATAGCTCCCACTGCATGATATAAATCCTGACATTTAGAATCCCATTTTACAGAGAAGTCTGAGGATCACAGAGGTAACTGCTCGCAATCACTCAGCTAGAAAATGGCAGAACTGTCTGACCCAAAAGCTGCCTCTAGAAGGAAAAGCTTTGGGCAAGTAGATGTCTGCTCAGGCATGGCAGTTGGCACTGTGTCTATCCAGTGTGAACCACACTGGGGACCTGGCCCCAGAAGATGGCTAGCAGTGCTCACCAAGGAGCAAGACCTGGGTGTCCAGTCCCCTCCCACTACCTGGGGTCAGGCGTCCGGGGTCAGGCGTTCAGGGTCGGGCATTGAGCTGGTTGCATGAGCCGCTGCTGTCTGTTGTCTTAGAAGGGCGGGTGGCCTGGCGGGGAGACCAGGTGTCCCGCTGCATGCAGCTGTTGGGCAGGACAGAGCCTGGAGCTGGGAGGGCTCTGTAGCCTGAGGCCTGGGCAAGTCCAGAGAAGCTGGAAGCTGTCGATTAGACTCGCGTCTGGCACCCAGAACAAGCCGAGAGCTTGTGGCAGCTCCCACCACTGAGGGAGGAATAGATGGACACAGTCTGTCAGTAGAAGGCCCCAGGTCTGGCAGGCCTGGACTCTGCCCTCAACGGTGCTGCCCTGTTACAGACCTGGGCTCAGAAATGTTTCTCAATGCTTCTCCACCTCACTCCCTGGCACTGAGCTGCACTGGCATGGGAAGATCTGGGTTCTGGTCTCAGCTCTGTTTTACATGCTGGGTGGCCTTGGGCGAGTCTCTACCCTCTGCTGGGCTGCAGTCCTCAGCAGATTATTCTGAACCCCAAATGCGAGTACTGGGAAGAGTTGGGGAATAGATAAGCTAAGGTTTCATTATTGTGGATGTCCAGAAGGAAGGCTGTGGGTACCAGGCCCTAGGAGAAGCCTAGGAGGCAAGGGGCAGGGAGTCCTTGCTGCTCTCAGAGACAGCCCAGCAGGGTGACTAAGAACTGGGTCTCAGGGAAAGATTGCCAGAGTCCTATGCTAGTGCTGCCTTTTAGCAGCTGAGTGACCTTGGACAGGTCACTTAACCTCTCAGAGCTTCAGTTCCTCATCTGTAAGATGGTACCCACTTACGGGGGGATGGGGCTGGCATGAAGAAAGAGTGAGCTTGTGCTTGCAGGACACTGAGCCCTGTGCCAGGGCTGCTGCTGGATGCTGAGGGCTGCTGTCACTGAGCTGGAGCACTTTAGTCCCAGTTTATAGGGATGATGGAGAGAATGGGTCTCAAGCTGCTGCTCCCAAGTCCCTTTTATCCCAAACTGCTCTACCTGGGTCCTGTGATCTTATACAGGCCACACATGTAGGACCCTAGGCTGCCATCTGCCTGTTCTTGAACCAGGGCACCCCAAGAGCCTCACAGAGCCAGGAAGCCACAGCCTGGCTCACTGGCAAAATGTGTGGCTAAAGGACCCTTTAGTGCCACTTGGAGGAGGCAAAGGAGGTAGGTCCCTCCCCACTGGGTCTGACTCCGTACTGATGTGTGTCTTTGGGCTTACTCCCTTGTACTTGCTTACCCAGTATGTAGGGTGGGAAGGCAACTCCCTTGGCTAAAGGTAGAAGGAGGCCTGACACCCTGGCCACAATGCACTGGGCCAGGTGCAGGGCAGAGCTGGCCCAGATAT